TGGAGATGTCAGGAACCTTCACAGGTGTTAGCTGGTGGGTAGGTGGTTTATGGGTTTATTGTTGGTTGATTGTTGGTGGGTGTTGGTTGGACTGTGAAACTTCTGCCAACTCCTCACAAAGGATTAATCCCAAGCATATGCAACAACTGAGACATTCCAGATCGCCTTGAAAAATGAAATAATACAGGCATAGATTGACACGTCTGGACGCTAGGAAGCTGGCAAAGAGAATAGCGTCACTTAGACACTTCAGGCGTTGGTAAAAAAAGAAGTCCCTAGTATACATGGGCAAGGAGTGCATCGGTTTCTAAGAAACCTCAATTAACTTCCTTAATATATATCAAAGATATATACATTTAAAAGTGGAGTTTAGTTAAAGTAACCAGAAAAGATAGACATAATAATGTTGTCCAATAAAGGCCAATATATATAGATATAAGGAACTATATCTTTCCGGTACAGACTGATGTGTAATGGCTTATCATTTCACGACATAGGGCAAGCGGTGCTCACTACAAGAAGACTAGTGACCGAACATCAAACTGGGGCGAGCGGTGCTCACTACAAGAAGACTGGTGAACGAACATCGAACTGGGTCGAGCAGTGCTTACTACAAGAAGGGTGGTAAACCAGCAATGAACTTGGTCGGGTAGTGCTCACTACAAGAAGACTGGTGAACGAACATCGAACTGGGTCGAGCGGTGCTTACTACAAGAAGGCTGGTAAACCAGCAATGAGCTGGATCGGGTAGTGCTCACTACAAGAAGACTAGTGAACGAACATTGAACTGGGGCGAGCGGTGCTCACTACAAGAAGATTTGTGAACGAACATCGAACTGGGGCGAGCGGTGCTTACTACAAGAAGACTGGTGAACGAATATCGAACTGGGGCGAGCGGTGCTTACTACAAGAAGGTTGGTAAACCAGCAATGAACTGGGTCGGGCAGTGCTCACTACAAGAAGACTAGTGAATGAACATCGAACCGAGGCGAGCGGTGCTCAGAGATGTGGTTTTACATAACAATGCTTAAAATACCCTGGACAGCCAAAAAAAGCAACCAAGAGGTTTTGATAGAGGCGGCAGCCCGAAGACAACTTCTCACAGACATCGGAAGGAGACAGTCTTCATTTTTTCGGCCATATTATGAGATGAGGGAAAATGGAACATGTAGTGACCACTGGAAAGATATGTGGAAGGAGGGATAGAGGAAGAGAAGATTCTTGACAGTCTTGTTGCATGGCATGGAGGTGTGTCAGCACACGAACTAATACATGCTGCGGGAGATCGCAGATTGTGGGAAGGCATAATCGCCCATACCAGTCGGCAAAGCACCTGATGATGATGATGATTCACTATTCGCATTCGTATTCGGCCGAATAGTTGGTCCAGCTATTCGTATTCGGCCGAATAGTGAAAATCACTATTCGGTACAGCTCTTATGGTTACACTAGAGCGCGTACAGAAACAGCTGTGCGGGTCGTACTGGATTGCACCAGAGACACCCTAGTGGTGTGTATGTGATACATCCTAGTTTGCCAACTGTTGCAGTTGGCTCAAGGTGCTGCAAGCATAGTCGTATCTCAGAGTACCTGCAAGCAAAGATAACCCTTTGCCCGAAGCTCTCCACACAGTTAAGGGTTAGCGGCTGATAACAGGGAAGTCATGCATAACTCAGGCAAAAGACACAATCAGAGAGGTTTTCATCCTAGGGAACATTAGGTGAGAGGAGGAGTGGGTTAGAGTGCCAGCAGACCAGTCAGAGTGTGCTTAGATCCATAATCACATTGAGCCGGGGGTGTGCAGACTGTGGCCAGCAGGCGCCACGGAGGTGGAAATTCAGCAATTAGTTCAAGACAATGTTCGCTGGGAGTATAGGATGTGATTATCTATACAGACATTTCAGTGTCAAGAGGCAAAAGAAGTAATTGGGAATTCTTAGCAAAACCTAATAGTCGATGTTTGGTGCAGGAGAGCCTAGCGTATGATACCACACCATCTAGCTTGAGAATGGAGGTAGGGGACGGTCAGTGCAGCTCTACGCTGGTTAGAGATCACCACACACACACAAACACACACATATATACATATATATATATATATATATATATATATATATATATATATATATATATATATATATATATATATATATATTTATATATTTATATATATATATATACATCGTGATTGTAACTGGCATAGAAAGCATGCCGAGAAAGGCGAGGACAGGGACGCTTCGTGCAGAGTGACATGTTTCGCACATCCATTTTACAGATCTGGTTTACTTGTGTGGAGACTGTTTGTTTTATGCCTCTCGGAAAGTTTCAATTTGACTTCGAAGAAGCTACGCTGTCATTGTGTGTAACATCCTCTTTCCATGTCGTCCTTTGTGTCTCTTCCCCTTTAAATTTTCTTTTGTCACCATGTACTCGGATTTTTCCTCTGTCCAGACATCTTCCTCATGTAGCAGGTCCTATGCAGAACGTGGCTCTCATCACGATCAACCTGAAAGAAACTCGGTCTCAAGATATAAGGAGCTAATATAGTTTGTCCTCTTATATCTGTCCAACTCCCAGTGAACGTTTTGAGGGCTAATTCTAAGAGAGGGTTGGTGGGGAGGAGAGGGGGGGGGGGTAGGAGGGGTAGGGGAGGGGGTAGGGGGGAAATCCCCGAACATGCATGTCGTAGAGGCGACTAATTAGGGATTTGCTGAAGTCGAATTGTTTGACCGAAATGCTCAGATATCGCAGCCTAGTAAACCATGGTATCACGTGTCACTCGCCTTTTCAAGAGCAGTATTTGATGAAGAAGAACGACAAACCAGCTATATTTGGCAACACGGTGTTTATGTTTCACAATACCGGTCTGTAAACAAAACGAGATCTGAATTCTTTACACGTCAACAATGGTTGTAACGGAACTCACGAAAAATGTTGATTACATGTCACTGGCGGTTGCTAAATTTATGCAACTCAAATCTTCATTCTAAAGAGTACAGATGTACGGATATTCCTCTATGACATCTGGATAGTTGGCTTCTTGCATTAAGTGCAATTATTTGTGTACGTTAGTAGGCAAGACAGCGGGAGTAGGCGAGGACAAGATATATATGGTTGAAGTCAACAAGTCATTCATCGTTGGACATCAACTGTGGTAGTTGAATTCGACGCAAAGTGTTACGAGCTCTGAGTCAGGGACTGCAGGTAAGCAATGTTCAATCGATCTTCCTCCTCTTATAGGCCTTTTTGTGTAGCTCTTGTAATCATTGTGCCCCTTTACTGTCAGTCAACAGGTTCATTCAAAATTTTTTTTCCTATGTTTTAAAGAGGTCGTACACTTCTTTAGTTTATCAGACCTCTCCTTTAGAGCCCTTTCTTTAGTTTATCGGAACCCTTCTTTAGTTTATCAGAGCCCATCTTTAGTTTATTACAGCCCTTCTCTAGTTTATCAGAGCCCTCCTATAGTTAATCAGAGCCCTTCTTTAGTTTATCAGAGCCCATCTGCAGTTTATCAGAGCCCATTTTTAGTTTATCAGAGCCCCTTTTTAGTTTATCAGAGCTCTCCTTTAGTTTATCAGAGCCCTTCTTTAGTTTATCAAAGCCCTCCTTTAGTTTATCAGATCCTTCGTTTAGTTTATCAGAGCCCACCTTTAGTTTATCAGAGCCCTCCTTTAGTATATCAGAGCCCCTTTTTAGTTTATCAGAGCCCTCCTTTAGTTTATCAGAGCCCTTCTTTTGTTTATCAAAGCCTTCCTTTAGTATATCAGAGCCTTCGTTTAGTTTATCAGAGCCCATCTTTAGTTTATCAGAGCCCACCATTAGTTTATCAGAGCCCACCATTAGTTTATCAGAGCTCATCTTTGGTTTATCAGAGCCCTCCTTTATTTTATCAGAGCCCTTCTTTAGTTTTTCAGAGCCTATCTTTAGTTTATTAGAGCCCTTCTTTAGTTTATCCGACCCCTGCTTTAATTTATCACAGCCTGGCTTTAGTTTATCACAGTCCTTCTTTATCAGAGCCCTTCTTTAGTTTATCAAAGACATATCTAGTTTATCAGAGCCCATCTTTAGTTTATCAGAGCCCTCCTTTAATTTATCATAGCCCATCTTCAGTTTATCAGAGCCCTTCTCTAGTTTATCAGAGAACATCATCTTTAGTTTATCAGAGCCCTCCTTTAGTTTATCAGAGCCCTTCTTTAGTTTATCAGAGCCTATCTTTAGTTTATTAGAGCTCTTCTTTAGTTTATCAAAGCCCTGCTTTATCAGAGCCCTGCTTTAGTTTATCAGAGCACTGCTTTAGTTTATCAGAGCCCATCTTTAGTTTATCAAAGCCCATCTTTAGTTTATCAGAGCCCATCTTTAGTTTATCAGAGCCCATCTTTAGTTTATTAGTGCCAATCTTTAGTTTATTAGAGCCCTTCTTTAGTTTATCAGAGCCCTCCTTTATTTTATCAGAGCCCTTCTTTAGTTTTTCAGAGCCCTTCTTTAGTTTATCAGAGCCCTTCTTTAGTTTATCAGAGCCCTTCTTTAGTTTATCAGAAACCTTCTTTAGTTTATCAGAGCCCTTCTTTAGTTTATCAGAGCCCTCCTTTAGTTATTCAGAGCCCTTCTTTAGTTTATCAGAGCCCTTCTTTAGTTTATCAGAGCCCTTCTTTAGTTTATCAGAAACCTTCTTTAGTTTATCAGAGCCCTTCTTTAGTTTATCAGAGCCCTCCTTTAGTTTATCAGAGCCCTCCTTTAGTTTATCAGAGCCCTTCTTTAGTTTACCAGAGCCCTTCTTTAGTTTATCAGAGCCCTGCTTTAGTTTATCGGAGCCCATCCTTTGTTTATCAAAGCACATCTTTAGTTTATCAGAGCCCATCTTTAGTTTATCAGAGCCCTCCTTTAGTTTATCAGAGCCATTTTTTAGTTTGTCTGAGCCCATCTTTAGTTTATCAGAGCCCTTCATTAGTTTATCAGAGCCTATCTTTAGTTTATCAGAGCCCTTCTCTAGTTTATCAGAGCCTCCCTTTAGTTTATCAGAGCCCTTCTTTAGTTTATCAAAGTCCCTCTTTAGTTTATCCGAGCCCTCCTTTAGTTTATCATAGCCCTTCTTTAGTTTATCAGAGCCCTCCTTTATTTTATAAGAGCCCTTCTTTAGTTTATCAGAGCCCAATTTTAGTTTATCAGAGCCCTTCTTTAGTTTATCAGAGCCCTCCTTTAGTTTATCAGAGCCCATCTTTAGTTTATCAGAGCCCTTCTTTAGTTTATCAGAGCTCCTCTTTATCAGAGCCCTTCTTTAGTTTATCAGAGCCCTCCCTTTGTTTATCAGTGCCCTTTTTTATTTTATCAGAGCCCTTAGGCGACGTAACACTGGAATAACCTCCAGCTCCTAACTAGGCTCTGAACAATATACAGAAATAATAGAATCCAAGCACGGTCACGTGAATGTGTGTTTGTTTCTTTGTGGGAGAGCCGTTTCTGAACAATTCTTCCACCGATTACCGATTGGTGTATAAAATAAAGGACTAGCCCAATGTGTCTGAAGGTGTGGAAAAGGGTCCCAAAGCAAGTTGTGTCAATGGGTTTTCTTTAGCTTTAGATTTATTGTTTATGTAACGACCTCTATGAGAATTAAATGGTATAATAAAGTCACTAATCCGGAGTTTGGGAGATAAATAAGCAAATTCAAATGAATCGAGCGATAAAGAAAAGACGCAGTGTTGGATAGGACACATGTTAAGAAAACCTAAAACTGTTATAGCAACGCCTTTCAAATAGTGTACAAGCTTTAGGAAAATTATTTCTGGCCGTCAGAAAGCACAGAGAAGAACTGAATCTTTTTTTTTTTTTTTAATTTGAAAAAAAAAATATTGTGTCCTTAGTAAATACAACACACCAACCACATATCACAATCGAATATGAAGAAGTATAAAACGTCACAGCTTCCGAGTATTAGGGCTCTTTATTGGACTGAACAACAGTGGGAATGCTCGAAAGAAGTAAGAAAAACACTTGCATTAGCAGTGCAGAGATTAAACAGCGTGAAGAACATATGGCAAAGCTCTGGTAAATTGGTTAAAGCAAAAATATTGAGATCATCCTATGGATCTTTCCGGAGTGCTGTGATGATAATAA